CCCCAAAACCCCAAAACCCCAAAACCCCGACGCCTAAAAACTTCATAAATATCGAAGGAATTTTTATCAGATTTCATAAATGACGCAATTAGGTCTAAATTTTGTATTTAATATAGAATCTAACTTATTAATAATATCTATAAAAACTACTATGAGATCCCTCTCACTTCTCAAAATATCTTTGGCCGTATTGCTATTCATCGCCCCTGCTTTTTCATTTGATAGAGCAAATAGCATTCTCAATCTTTAAACACAAAATTCTACCTCAACTCAAGTATAAGAAGTGAACTAAGCCATTGATGACGCTTAAGTTATTATAGGCTAATCATCTGATGCCTACAAAAATTACTTAACTTGTGTTGGTAATTGCAGCGCCTAAAACAAAGAATGGGACTGTTATTATCAATGTTCAAATGATTTGGCAAAGGAATTGCAAACAGTTATTTCCTTGTTCAAATACGATAATGCCTATAGCTATGATTAAGTTGAGAACAGACTTCTTACCGAAGAAGCTCAATTTTCTGTAGAAGCTAATCTCCCAACAGAATTCAAAGAATTAAGAATGAAACAAGTTACAGCAACTGTGAATCTTTTTGCTCTTGAGAAGTTCTCAAAGGCAAGCTTTGACCCTCTCTACCTTGCTGACACTACTATTTTTGATGACCTTAATACATGCTACATGAGTTGTGGCAGCGATGCCGTATGTGTAAATACATGCTTGGAAAAATTCTATGCAGAAATGTATAGATAATCATCATACTCTCTTGCATCTGCACAACAAGATCAATTTTCTGAATTCACTAATAATTTGTAAAAGTTAGGTGAATGCCTTGCCAAAGCAACTACCTAAGAGGAAGTTGTTGCCTGCACAGAATTGTTGAATCAGTAATCTCTCGTAAGCGTTCAACTAACAAACCAAGAAAAAGATGTTGTTCAGTAATACTACAACTAAGCTTAACAGATTACTCAGCAAGTTGAATAATAATTACCGGCCAGAAAACAATTTGTTCAAGCCAAACTCAACGATGTCACCACTGACCTCAAGACAAATGCTGGACAATACAAGCAAGTTGCTCAATCTGAGATCAAACAAGGTGCAGACCAAGTCAACGCTTAACTTCCAGCTGTAGAGTAGCAAGTCGTCCAAGAAATTGACCAAGCTGTCAAATAAGTTATTGCTAACCTCCCACAAGCCCAAGCTTAAATCAACGGCATCCTCGAGCAAGTTGCTGACCAAGCTACTAACAACATGACTGCCTACCAAACCAAAGCCGCTTCAATCATCGACTAATTAGCCGCTGTTGCTTCAGATGCTGTTAACCAATTCGATGCAAACCAAAAAGCTGTTGCCCAATAACTCGGCTTGAAATCACTTGTAAGTATGACCATTGGTGACTCTGCAGCTTAAAAACTATTCGATGGCTCAGTTCAGATTTAATACGAGGCTCCATAAAGCACTCTTAATATGATTGTTCTTGCTGTTACTGCCGCATTCGCAGCTTCACTTGCTGTTTTCTTCCTTTTAAGAAGAGCTAAGAAGCAATCAACTAAGGCCCAACTTGTCAAACCAAGTGAACTTAAGAGACAAAGAAAGGAAAAGATCCTTGAAGATGAAGAAGAAGACACTTTCCCAATTGAATCAACTCTCTGAAATAATCTTAGAATAACTATAGGTTTAAACTCTATAAGAGAATAAATTATCAAGTGTTGATTTTCTCTTAATTTAATAAATATTGAATCATATCTTCAGCACCTATATAACAACATTTTAGGAATTCGGGGTTTTGGGGTTTTGGGGTTTTGGGGTTTTGGGGTTTTGGGG